GGCACGAGTCACTAGTGCCTAGCTTCATTGAGTTTCTTTCTTTTTTTTTTTTTCATGTCCTTTAGTGTTGCCACTTAACTTTTATTTTTATTTTTTTTTCATTTTTCTTTTATTATTCATATGTGCATACAAGGATTGGTTCATTTCTCCCCACTGCCCCCACCCCCTCCCTTACCACCCACTCCGCCCCCTCCCTCTCCCCCACCCAATACCCAGCAGAAACTATTTTGCCCTTATTTCTAATCTTGTTGTAGAGAGAGTATAAGCAATAATAGGAAGGAACAAGAGTTTTTGCTGGTTGAGATAAGGATAGCTATACAGGGCATCGACTCACATTGATTTCCTGTGCGTGGGTGTTACCTTCTAGGTTAATTCTTTTTGATCTAACCTTTTCTCTAGTACCTGTTCCCCTTTTCCTATTGGCCTCAGTTGCTTTGAGGTATCTGCTTTAGTTTCTCTGCGTTAAGGGCAACAAATGCTAGCTAGTTTTTTAGGTGTCTTACCTATCCTCATCCCTCCCTTGTGTGCTCTCGCTTTTATCATGTGCTCATAGTCCAATCCCCTTGTTGTGTTTGCCCTTGATCTAATGTCCACATATGAGGGAGAACATACGATTTTTGGTTTTTTGAGCCAGGCTAACCTCACTCAGAATGATGTTCTCCAATTCCATCCATTTACCAGCGAATGATAACATTTCGTTCTTCTTCATGGCTGCATAAAATTCCATTGTGTATAGATACCACATTTTCTTAATCCATTCGTCAGTGGTGGGGCATCTTGGCTGTTTCCATTGAGTTTCTTATACTTGTAAGTTCTGCAGAAAGTATTTGACTATTAGTTCTTTAAATTATTTTCCAATTCGATTATATTTCCCTTTTATTTCTGGGACTTCAATTTTGCTTACATCATTTGATATTATTCTACAGGTTACTGAGGTTCTGTTCATTCCCCCTTCCCCTCCTCCCGATTTTGAGTCTGTTTTTCATATTGAGTAATTTGTACCAAACCATCATCGTGCTCACTGACCTTTCCTTTTGTTCACTCTAATTTGCTATTGATCCTATTCAGTTAATTTCTAGACCATTCACTTTTTTTTTAATAGATTTTATTTCTCTGATGAAGTTTTTCAACTTTGTATGTATTACAACCATATTTTCTTTCTTTTTCTCTCTCTGTTTTTTTCTTTTTTGGTGGAACTGGGCTTTGAACTCAAGTCCTCACACTGTTAGGCATGCGGTCTATGACTTAAGACACTCTGCCAGCCCTACAACCATATTTTCTAAGTATTTGAATGTATTTATGTGGTTATTAAAGTCCTTGCTTACTTATTCTAACATGTATCTTATATACATTTTTTTCTAATTACTGATTTTTCTCTGGATTGTGGCCCAACATTTTATTTCTTTGAATTTTAATAATTTTTGTTTACTGGACAATAAATATGATACATTGTCAAGGAGCATTCCTTTAATTTCCCCTAATGTTATTATCTTAAATTTTCACAGCACACTTGCCAAAACTAAGAAATTATATCACAATATTTACTAACTAAATTCCAGATTTTATTTGAATTTCAATAGTTTTCCACTAATGTTCTTCTTCTGTTTCAGGGTGCAATTCAAGATATCACATGGCATTTACCTATTCTCTTCTGGTCTATGATAGTTTATCAGTGTTCGTTTGTTTTTTATGATCCTGATATATTTGATGAGTATGGTTAGATATTTAGTAGGATATCCCTCAATTTATAGGTATCTGAGTCTTTTTTTTTTTTTTTTTTTTTTTGAGTCTAGGATCTCCTGATGTAGCCCAGGTTGACTTCAAACTTTGACATCTTCCTGACTCAGCCTTCTGAGTGCTGGTATTACAGGTACCTGGCTGAGTTGTCTTATTTTTTCTTGTTTAGACTTGGGTTTTGATTTTTTTTTGGGAAAATATCTTAGTGGTTAGGTGCTGTTCTCACTGCATCATTTCAGGGGTGAATTTTGTGTTGTGGTTGAGGTAGTGTTTGCCAGGTATCTCTATTGTAAAGTTACTCTGGCCCTCTGTCCATATTTTATTCTTGGCTAGTGAGACTTTACATCTTGATCACACTTAATAGGAGGGAAAGTAAGTTCTTTATTTAGAAGGGAGACTATCTACATATATTATTTGAGATCTTTGATAAGGAAAACTTATTTCTCCTCCATTTATTGGGAATTGAACCTAGGGCCTCATGCTTGCTATCATCATTTATTTGTTTAAGTTGTTAGGGATTTTTTATTTTATTTTATTTATTTTTTTCATTTTTCTTTTATTATTCATATGTGCATACAAGACTTTTCCTCTTGAGTTTTAATCCAATACTGTTATTTATTTTGTTTGTCAAATTGTCCCATTGGGAGTTATTTTGGTTTTTTTGCTTTTTTTTTTTTTTTAATTGGTGCTTGTATCTTGATATGCCCCCATTTTTTTTTAAACTTCTTGGGGCTGGGGTATGGCTCAAGTGATAGGGTGCCTGCCTAGTAACTGCAAGGCCTCAAGTCCAAACCCCAGTACTACCAAAAGAAAAAAAAAAAATTGAGTTAAAAACTTCAGGCCAGGTGCCAGTGGCTCATGCCTGCAATTCTAGCTACTTAGGAGGCAGAGATCAGGAAGATCATGGTTCAAAACCAGCTTGGGCAAATAGTTTGACAGACCATGTCTAGAAAATACCCAACATAAAGAAAGGCTGGCAGAGTGGCTCAAGTGGTAGAGGGCCTGTCTACCAAGTGTGAAGTCCTGAGTTTAAACTCCAGTACTGCCAAAAACAAAAGCTTCTGCATTTTCTAACTCTGAAAGACCATAAGATGCTCCAAGTACATCTGGAATTTTCTCTGCCTTAGCCCTAGAATTAGCAATTTCTTCAAGGAGACCCTGGTTCTTATGTTGCCACTCCCAACCTTTTTATCATCTCAATCATTCTTAAGCATATAGTTCAGCAGTGTTAAGTACAGTTGTGGATTGAACTTTTTGAACCTCCCTAATTCACATATGGAAGCTCTAACTTCTAGGATGGTTGTATTTGGAACTGGGTTCTCTAAATAACTAATTAAAGTTAATGAGGTCACAGGATTGGGGCTCTGATCTGATAGGATTAGTGTTCTTTCGAAAACTCACTAGAGAGGCCACGCTGTCTCTCCTTGAATGCACACAAAAGAAAAGCCATTTGAGGATATATCAAGAATTCACTAGACACCAACTCTACTGACAGTATCTGGAAATGTGACAAAATAAATTTGTTGTTTAAACCACCCAGTCCATGGAATTTTGTTATGGCAGCTGTATCAGCCTAGTACACAGATGTCACATTGTTGTGCAATTGATTGCCAGAACTTTTTCATCTTGCAAAACTGAAACTCTATACCCACTGAATAACTCCCCTTTCCTTCCTCTTCCCAGTCTCCATCAAACTGCATTCTGCTTTCTGTTTGAATGAACTTGATTACTTTAGATGCCTTGTAGAAGCAGAATCATACATTATATTTCTAGTGCTTGGCTCATTTCACTTAGTACAATGTCTTTAAGGTTCATCTGTATTGTAGTGTATTATAGGATTTCCTTCCTTTTAAAGCTGAATAATATTCCACTGTGTGTGTAGACAACACTTTGTTTATGTTGCCTTCCTTTTAAGGGCATTAAAGTTAGTTTTTATAGGCAGCTGAATTGCCAGTGGATTTTATTGGTGCTGTCATTCTTTGTTTTGCTTTGCTAGTGGTATAAAGCAATGTATCATCTCTGTTCTGACTCTGACATTTGGTCTTGCAAGAGACTGTTTCAAATAGCACCTGCAGAGTTTTATCCTGTGTGTGTGCAGCCTAGGTCTTAGCCACAGATCTTTGGTGAGTTCCCATGCAGCCTTCTGGATACCTTTCTGTGTGCAACTCTCTTGTCAGTCACCATGCCCTGCAAATTCCCACCACCTAAGCAGCTCTATACCCCAATTTCTGCCTCAGCTTAGTGAGTGAGGCTGCTGTTCTATTTAGGATTCATTTTTCCTGCTCTGTGTCAGAAAGTGGCCTTGGCTGGAAAGCCAGGTTATCAATTGTAGAGCTCACATTAGTTATTCTTTTCTTTCAGAGGTCAGTGCTGTCTGTGTGGGCTTATATATATTTTATGCTTATGTGTATTTTGTCAGGTATAATTTCTTGGTTGAAGGGTCAGTTCAGTGCTACTATCATTACTTAAAACAGAACTCTATTAGTTTTTACTGACCTATACTCCCTGTTTCTCTTCTCTTTCTTTTCTTCTATCTTTATATGCTCTAACTGGAGATCTTATCTATGTTGAAGAGTTTCAATTCCCTTTTGTTTTTCTTAGTTTAACTTTTAACCGTTTCCTTTAGAAATGAATTACTAACACTTTAGCTTATAATTGCTTTAAGTTGTTCCTCTTTGTAGTTTATAGAAGGAGACAGTAAGGAGAAAAGTTAATGGTATTGATGGAATTTCTGATACTGTGAAGAATAAAGATTAGCGCACAATTGGAAGAATGTTTTAGGGAAAGACAGTGTTATGTCATAGGCACAAAATATGCCTGGGTGATAGCCTGTTTCTCCCATTATGATAGGCACCTGCCGCCAAGAGTCTATTGTTCATCACTAATCAAAAGGTCCATGAAATGGTGAAATCAGTCCCATTTGGTATACACTGTTTATTCAGAAGAAAATAAAAAAGAGAAAAAAATCTGTGATAAATGCTAGGAACCACTCTCATTTTTATTCTAGAGTCTACAATAAAAATTGTTGCACCTGAGACCCATTTTCCTTGCTGAATAAGGTGAGATTGGGAATCTATGTATTTAATGAATATCTAGAGTGTGGTGGAGCAAAAATTCTTTAAAAAAAACAATTTAGAATATTAATTTCTATAGGCAGTCCTAGAATTTGAATCATTTCCTGAAAAATTACTTCTGCTTTTGTCAAGTTTCCTGCTATCAGTTCAGAGAGTGGGCTGTTTCCTCACTGATACATGTCTCTTCACACTGCTGTAATCTCTACTGAATGTGAAAGACACCAGATAGAGATGACTGACAATGACATCTATTCTGTGCTAGAGTTGTCTACTGGAACCGAAGCCCAGAATGACTTCAGAGCACAGCAAAAAGGTGAGTTAAATAAGTTAGCAGGGAAAACTGCATAGTGACTGGAGGCCAAGGATGAATGGGGGGTAGAATAAGTTTGGAGTAGAGGGTGCAGAAAAATCAAAGATAATTGAAAGAAATACTTTATGCTCAGTTTGTCGTCCTAAAACAGAATATGGAAATTTGGTATATGGTATAAGATATGATCTTAGGTCTTCGGTAAGTTCTTTTCTAGTCATTCAATTGTATGGTCCCATCCAATGCAATGCAAAGGTCACACCATCCATTCTTTATTGCTCCTGAAATAAAGCAAGAACTGTACTAGGAGAATTTCATCTCTTTAGCCATGTTTGGAGTAACCTTGGATCAACTGCTTAAATTCTAGGCATCTCTATTTTTCTGACTATGCAATGAAGAGAAAACACCAATAATTTTTTGCTAATGGGAAATAGTAAGATTTTTTTTTTCAGAAAAGAAATTGATTTGTATACAGGCTTCTTTCTTTCTTTCTTTCTTTTTAGGTGAGACTGGGGTTTGAACTCAGGGCTTTGTGCTTGCAAAACAGGCACTTTATTGCTTGAGTCACACCTCCAGCCTATTTTGCTCTGGTTATTTTGGAGATGGGGGTGGGTCTCAGAAGCTGTCCACTATCCTCCTGATCTTAACCTCCCAAGTAGCTGAGATTATAGGCACGAGCCACCAGCACCCTCCAGTTTTTATTTATTTTTTTAACCCCGTTCCAATTATTGTACCAGAATGGTGATAGGGTATGAAAAGGTAACCAACACTAGTTAGTCCCTGACATTTCAGGGAGATTTGAGAGAAAAGACCATTTTTATGTAGTGACCTGAGAGGACACGGAGACAGACAGATACAAACGCCAAAACTGACATCTGATTTTTTATCTTAAGTGAGTAAATTCCAAAAGTGGACATATTCTTTAGTGTGACTCTGTAAGCTTTCGTTCTATTATTTTTGTAGTTTTAATGCTGCATTTTGAAAGAATTGCCATGATTTGCTAAATCATTCCAATATATTTGGGCACTTAGATTTATTCCTATTATTATAAAATATATAGCAGTAGACAATTATTTGTACAATTTTTCTGTCTTTGGATTATATCTATGCTAATTTCTAAGAAATAGAAATATTAAGCCTAAAGGAATCTATATCTGAAAGTAAAAGTTCAAAGCCACACAACTGGCTATAAGTTGAAACTTGATAGTTGGAACTAATATTTAATATAAATTTTTCTTAAATTGGATAGTGGCCACACAAATACAATTGTGAAATTTTTTTTTTCTTTTTTTAGCAGTACTGGGGTTTGAACTCAGGGACTCATGCTTGTGTGGCAGGTGCTCTACCACTTGTGCCACTACGCCAGCACACAATTAGGTATTGACACAATTTTTTCTTTCAGTGTATCATCTAAAATGAATTTTTATTTAATTAATTATTCTTTATGGTACAAATGTATTTTTTTTATAACACTAGAAATTTAGTATTTCTGGAATCACCAGTCAAAAATTTGTCATCCAGAATTCTGTCTTTATAAAGGCATCTTTCATTATGCATTCCTTTCTCTTAAGAAATTCAGAATATTCAAAGACACACACACATACATGCAGAATAATTCATCTAAAATTTAAGTAGTTCTTCGCCCTTCAGAGCTGGAAACGCAACTTTTGAGGTCTTCGGGGCTACAGAGCTGGAGGCTAAGGCTGCTGGGGAGGTCCGAGCGATGTGACCAGGCCGCCGTCGCTCTCGTCCAGTCTCGAAAATAACTTTTTTTTTTTTTTTTTACTCTAAAGAAAGGGGAAAAAAAAAAAAAAAGGAGTCAGTCCGCTCCTCACACCCTCTTTTCCTCTTTTTCCGTCTGGTCTCCGTCCCCAGGCATCCCTTCTACACCGGGCTGCCTCGGTGATAGGCGAGATCGCTGCCCTGTCCTTCATCTCCAAGTCCCTCCGCACCCCGGGGCTCACAAGCGAGCGCCAGGTGCACATCTTCGGCCAGAGCCTGGGAGCTGCTGGCAGAACTTTATAAACATCACTGGTTCCCGGAAAAGCAACACAAGGGATCAGGTTGCACGTTGTGCTTGCATCAACCATAAAATGACCCTCTGATTGGACAGGCAGATTGGACTGAGCAGGCAGGAGCTGTTCAGATTTCTCCCAAGTGAGCGCGCTCTCTGGGTTGACCCCTAAGAAGTGTCCCACAGAATTGGACAGCATGGCTCCATTTGTGTGCTGTATGAAGCCTCACCAGCAGGAGGTAGCACTCAGAACAGCAGCAACGTGCAAACGGTAGACAGCAGAGTTAGCAGTGAAGGAGGCAGAGACAAGCCCTTCCCCAAACTACAACAGGATGACTGTATCGGGTCAAGACACAGTCTATGGATGGATCATCTTATAATGGATGGATCAAATTTGATTTTTGCTTTGGGTGGGCGCCTCTTGGGGATGGATTATGGAATTTAACATCTTCACAGCTGTGAAGATCTGGCACAAGATAGAATGGTAAACAAACAAACAAAATTAAGTAACAGTGCCATAGTTTGGACAGTACCTTTCAATGATTGAATAACCTGTGAGTCCAAGTAAATGATCACTTTATTTGCTAGGGAGCAAAGTCCCAGGGTGGTTTCAGTTTTTCCCAGACATCATATCTAAATTTTTACATCAGTCCCTTTAAGGAAAATCTGTATTTCAAAGAACTTTCTTTGCAGTAGATCTCGCAGAGGAATTGTTATCAGTAACCTTTTTGGCAGCTCAGTAGAAAAGCTCAACTTTTTAAATAAACATGGTAGTACTGGACATTTTACCACAAGACTTTTACCTCGCACTTAAATATGTATAAATGTACATAAAGACAAACTAGTAAGCATGATCTGGGGAAATGGTCAGACCTCGTATTGTGTTTTTGACTTTGCAAGTTGCAAGTGGCCAGAATCTGCCTTGGCAACAGACTTTTATAAAGACACTGTCTCCACTGTGGTGTTAGCACCAGCCCGCTCTCTGTACATTTGCTAGCTTGTAGTTTTCTAAGACTGAGTAAAGTTCTTATTTTTAGAAAGTGAAGGTCTGGTTTGTAACTTTTGTTGTACTTAATTGGGTAAAAGTCTTTTCCACAAACCACCAACTACTTTGTGAACTTTTGTTAGTCATCTTTTATTTAGTAAATTATTAACTGGTGTAAATTTGTACAGTTCATGTATATTGATTGTGGCAAAGTTGTGCAGATTTCTGTATTTTGGGTAAGAAATTTTTATTCTCTCTATAATAGGTTTTTATCTTGGCATTTAAAAAAATGAACAAAATTTAAGTAGGAACATGAGACCCAAATAAGCAAAATCAATTTTCTAATTAAAGGTTACCAAACAAAGGAGTCAAAACTAGAACTTAAATATCTTACATTGCCGAATTTTTTTTCTCATTACATAATTCCTATATTCTCAGGCTATGGTACACCTATGATTTTGAAATAAAAGGCTGGAAAAATGCTTCCATTTTCAAGCTAAAAAATACCATTCTTAGATATAGGATGTGTCTGACATAGTTAATATGAAGTAATGCTCTATCTTTACATGACATCAACTTCGACTTATTACTATGCTTCTAATAATGACAGCTTATAAAGCAAAATGAATTTTCCCATTTAATTCTGAGACTGAGGTTGTTTTATTTTTATTTAAGTTAAATTTATTTATTTATTTATTTTGGTGGCACTAAGGTTTGACCTCAGGGCCTCCCGCTTTACTAGGTAGGCACTCTACCACTTGAGCCACTCCTCCAGACTTAAATTTATTTAAATTTTATTATTTGTCAATGATACATTTGTTTGATTCAAAATTCAAAATTTACAAAAGAAAACAAGGTGAAAGCTCTCCCTCCTATCTCTGCCCCCACTAACCCATTCCCTATCCCAGATGCTAACACTATTGGATGCTTGGGTGTGCAGGTAGAGATGTTAGTACACCCTGTTCTGAAGAATGTTTCTGTCCCTTAATTATGTACTTTGAAAATCACTCCACATCAGTTTAAAAAAAAAATTCCTGGACTGGAGGTGTGGCTCAAGCAGTAGAGCACCTGTTTTGCAAGCGTGAAACCCTGAGTTCAAATCCTAGTTCCACCAAAAAAAAAAAAAAAGGATTCTTTTCTTAGACTTCATATTTACTGTATCAAAGTATATTTGGTCTTTTACTGATAGACATTTAGGTTGTATTCAATATTTTCCTCCTATAAACACTGTTTCCATGAATAGCCTTATAAATGTACACTGCACATTTATGAGAAGCTGCAGAAAAAATTCTGAAAGAGAAATTGCTGGGCCAAACGGTAAAAGTCTTTATGAATTTGGTAAATATTATGAAATTTTCTTCCAACCTCTGAAGAGGCGAGTCAATTTATATTCTCAGCACCAATGCATAGGCAGAAATATGCTACAAATTCAAAGGAAAACATTTTTCTTAACTTGATAAATATTGTATGCTCCTTGATGCAGGTGGTGGTGGTTACCTTAGACTAAAAGCAAGTGCTAGACAGACTCTAGGAATGCAATCTTTATGGCCTGGGTCAGATATCAGATATGCTCCCCTGACCTTATCTTTTCCTTTAATCTTTTTTCAGCTTCTCCTTCTAGGCCTTCTCTTTCTTGCCTTGTGGCAATATCCTTGGGGTTTTTGACAGCAATTCTTATGAGTTTGCTGCTATACCAATGGATTCTGTGCCAGGGTAAGTGCCAACTTAAATCAAAATTAATCTTTCATTTTGTCTCTTTTATATTGTAAACTCAATATAACATAACAGAAGTTGAGAAAACTGAAAAATAATTTGCACAAAATAAATTACTATCTATACACAACTCTTTTCTGGATGTAGCCTCCTCATTTCTGTCTACATGGATTTATGTTTATTTTCTTAATAGAATTGCAATCAAGTCTTCGTAAAATCTCTTGCATTTTTTTGTTTTCTTCTCAAAGAAAGACCAGACTATCCCTGGTCTTAGGGATAGTTCTGATCATAGGACACTTATAATTTTGTGTATTGCTGTTTAATTTCATGTGTCACAAACATACTTATTATATTATAATATTAATGGTGTTTAATCTTTCACATAGTCATAGATTTAACATTCTGATCTTATTTTTTTTTTCTTTGCCATTTAGGTGTTTTCATATTTTCTAGAGCTAACATTTCTAGGTTTAGTTCTTCTAGGTTCTTAAATCTGGTGACCCAGGGGCTTAGTTTATTGTTTTACAATCTAGAGTTCTAATTTAGGTTTATGTTATGGGGAATGATTGTTAGTGACCCATTATATAAATTTACTCATTAGAATTCTTAGGATTCACCCTCAGGATCACCAGCTTACACCCATGTAAGGAGTTTCTACAGAGAAACTCCTAGGAAAGTTGGGAATTTCTGATACAGATTGGGTAAAACAAAAGTTGTGTGGAAAAAGTGCAAATCTGTAAGGTTCCAATTTAACAACTTGATCTGCAGAACTCTGTATTGGTCTCTTGCCGGGCCTTCCCATAGAAAGTCACCTTGTCTATACATGAAAAGGACTAATTTCCCCACTTTTAAACTCCTAAATCTAGAACAGACATAAATCTGTTTTGCAATTGTATCTCTACACATGTGCTCATATTATACAACAGTTCATATTTGCTCACTGTAGAATTGTGCTGATGGTGAGTTCATGCAAATATATTTCAAAGAAGGACAAAGCCAATAGAATTATGGGATATTGTTTGAAATTACCTTGGAAGCATATTCAGTTTCCTGTCATTTTGACAGAACAATATAATTCAACCATTTTAAAGGAATGAGGATCGTCTGTATTTTTTTTTCCTTGACGGTACCAGGATTTGAATTCAGGGCTTTGTGCTTGCACAGCAGGTTCTCTACCACTTGAGCCACACTTCCAGCCCATTTTGCTCTGGTTATTTTGGAGATGAGGGGGTTCATGAACTATTTGTGCAGGCTGGCCTCGAACTGTGATTCTCCCGATCTCAGCCTCCTAAGTAGCTATGATTACAGGTGTGAGCCATGAGCTCCTGGCTTTGTCTATATTTTTTTGAAAAAACAGAGTCAGGAGAATTCTATTGCTTTTCCCTGATAAACTTCTCAGTCAGAAAAAAGTTTTAATACTTAACTAATTTTTTAAATTGTAAGTATTTTTTTTTTCAGTTTCCAATGGATATAATAATACTAGAAACTAGAAGTTTCTTTCATTTTCTCATCTACCATGATGATGTGCTATGTTGAGGTTGGGCACCCTAAGTGTTTTTGCCTGGTTTAAGCAATGCACCTTACGCATCACCTAGTGTATGCACTGAGCATGCGTAGATGGCACATGGACCCGTATCAAGCAAATGCACAGTCATTTTACCTGGTGTGTTTATATCCCATGTACATTGTGCATAGAGAGCAATGGTCTTTCTCCGCAGTCTTCATAGTGGACCACATATTCTTCCTTGCTCCTTAGTCATAGCCTCATCCTGGCTTAGTGGAGTGTGCGCTGGTAGTGATGGGGTTGGGTACTGAGGCCAAGCACGGTCACGCAGTTCTCTAAATCTTGATCTGAAAGGTGCTCGGGTAGGGAAGACTTGGGAAGCCATATTCCCATATCCATCTCTTGTCATTTTTAAGACTATTTGGTTCATATCGGTGTGACTCACCTCCTCTTGCTTTCTAGGCTCCAAGGATTCCACTTATGCCAGCTGTCCTAGCTGCCCAGACCTCTGGAGGAGATATGGTGACCATTGTTATTATTTCTCAGTGGAGAAAAAGGACTGGAATTCTAGTTTGGAGTTCTGCACAACCAAAGATTCACATCTCCTTATGCTTACAGATAACCAGGAAATGGTAAATGTAAAAATTTAGAAAATGTAATATATATATATTTTTTAAAGAAATAGAGCCTCACTCTGTAGCCCAGGCTGGCCTCTTACTAATGATCCTCCTGCCTCAGCCTCCAGAGTGCTGGGATTACAGCTGTGCACCATCATACTAGTTTGCTTATTTTATTTTTTGATGAATGATGCTCAAATGTGTCATGTATCCTCTTTTGAGTAACAAAAAGAACCTTTCATTTTGGGTAAGACTGTATTCTTCCCTTTCACTCTTCTTTCTTCTGTCTCCTCTATCCTTACCCTTACCCTCCCCCATCCCTCCTTTCCCAGTCCTAACCCTTACACTGCCTGACCTAACAATCCTCAGATGTAGCAACCCAGATGTGTGTGTGTGTGTGTGTGTGTGTGTGTGTGTGTGTGTGTGTGTGAATGTTGGAGGAGAGAGGTTGGTGAGTATTTTAGAAAGGCACTAGACCTGACATTCAGGTCTAATTAAAAGAAGCATTAGGTCTGGAAACATAACAGGTCCAACAATAAGGCAGCAGGTTTCTACCCAAGAGTCAATGGAGCTTAGAAGGAGGGAAAGAAGAGAGATCACTGGGACAAAAGGACCATGGCAAGGAATTAAATGTCTTGCCTTTAACTGTTCTCCTTCATTGAATGGAATTCAATTAAGTTCTAGACTGAGAAACAATGTCCAGAAAGTTGGGATACAAGAAAGAAAAGTGTGTGTATGTGTGTATGTGATCTTACACACCTTGCAGAAGTCAGGTGGCAGGGTTCTATTTCCTAGAGGCCTCCCATATTCTTCTTATTCATCAAAAGTCTCTTTGAGGAGAAGTCTCTATAGCTTTAGAGCATCTGAAGATAATATAGGAATTGACATCCTGGCAAAAATGAACCAAGTACAATTATAACTGACACACACAAAGAATATAAGAAATCCTAGTTTAGTTTTTAGTGCTAATTTTATGTTGACTTCTCTGTTTTGATATGTTATCTGTTTTCATTTTTTGGATAGAATCATGTTATAGAGAACAGGTTATTAAGAATTCAATTAAACTCCAGTACAATAAAAAAAAGAAAATGCATTAATATCCATTGGGGAAATCTAGAGAGGTACTTACTCTAAAGCACTTAAGTGTAGTGGAACACATAATCCCTAATTTTATTTCTTCTCCTTCTCCTTCTCCTGCTTCTCTTTTGTGAGATAGTCTTGTTTTGTAGCTCAGGTTGGCCTCAAACCTGCAATTATCCCGCTTTACCATCCTATGGTAAATAGGTGGGCATTGTGAACCACCATGCCCAGCTCATTACTTTCTATTTTGAGAAAAGATTCAAGTGCCTAGATTCTTTTTGCTGTCAAAGGAATGCTCATTCATTTGAAATTCTGGGTAGAATATAAACCCCAATCATTTCACCTCTGTGACTTACTTTTCCTTTTGCCCTTCCCTAAGCTAAGTGACAGAATGCATTGAAGTGTATTCATTAGATGTGAAATCTTAGTTTTATGGCCTCTAGTAATAATAGAGTTGCTCTCTGGACATGGTTGCAGCAACTAGTAGTAACATTCTGATACAGCTGTTGCTTCTGAGGACCTGAGCTGACTGAAGTCAAAAGCAGAGTGAGCATTGAGCTTGAAACATTTGCTCAGCACTGCAAATACCAATAAACAGGAGTCATGAGTCATAAGGCAAGACATTGCCTCAGAAAACTATGGTGTCACAGGAACTTAAATTACACAGTGTGATGAGAGATGAGGAAGGAAAAGACAAAGGCACAGAGTATGTGGGAGTTGGGGATATCCCCATGTCTCTTGGGGTACCCAGCGAAAGAAAGGTGATACTAAAGGGATTTTATCCTTCTTTCTTTGGGCTCCCTGGATCTGGAAGACACTGTAAATGGGCAGAGTTAAATTGGTTGAATTTCCAAAATGAGATTTTTTTTTCTCTTAAACCTGTTGGTTCAAGTTAGTATTGAAGAGGGTGGAATATCCATGTTACATTTAATAGCAACCACAGATAAAATTTACTTTTGATATTCCTGTAGGTTTTTGGTTGATTCCTTGTTTTTTGTTTTTTTTAATTTTCTTTCTGCTTTTGTAAGATTCTGTGGAAACAATTTGCCCTATATCTGATTTTCAGTCTCTTGTCTCAGTCTTGTTATTCTTTTGTTCTCAAGGCAAGATTTGCATACTATTTTATGCTGTATGTGATGTTCCTAGTATCATGCCTTGGTCTGAACAGTTTCCAAAAAACGTATTTAAAAAAAAGAAAAGAAAAGAAGCTGGGTGTTGTGGCAAATGTCTGTCATCTCAGACTTGAGATGGCACTTGAAAGGCAAGAGGCAGGAGGATCTTGAATTCCAGGACAGCCTGGGCTACACAATGTGTTTGAGGTTGGACTGGGCCACACAACAAATCCTTGTCTCAAAACACCTAGGCCCCCTCCCCATCAAAATAAAGCAGCTATGTGGGTCTGTTAAAACCAAAGGTTTTTAAATTGGCATCCATTTAGTGAAGAATACAGCAACACAATTAGGTTGCTATGTAGTAGTGGCTACATGCCTATAAAAATTTTAGTTACATATTCAAGTAACACATTCAATGTGTTTCTATTCATCCTTTAGACACATTTCTAGTTGTTTTTAGCAATAGATTCAATTGCTTTTAGAATTTATAAGTACTCTATACTGTACCTTTTTGCAAGTTAGTAACAGCATCCATTGCTTTAAATACTTTACCTGGAAAAGTGTCTGAAGAAAGATGTGTTAATGATATTACTTGAAAATATGAGACATACTGTTTAAAAATGTATATCCCATGCTTCTAAAAGTTTTGGACACCCTGCATTTTATGTTCTGCTTTTAGTGCACATTATTTCATTACTGTTGTTTTCTTAATACCAAAATTTTTCAGATAATTTAAAAAAAATTTGTAAAGTATTTTTAGAAATTACTTAAAAATTACTTAGTATTCTATTATTGCTTAAATCTTTACATATTATCAGAGAAGATTCATTTCTAATTGTTATGATCCATGAACATATTTACATGAACAATTTTGCTTGGGGTCATTTATTTATGTTTTATTCTTTTGGTTAACCAAAAGATATGACTAATTTAGAAGTTTTGCTGTATGATTAGTTTTCCTTGATGTGTGTTGAAATAATTTAGATACATTCCAAAAACCATGTAAATTTTGGAAGTTTAAGGGTTATGTGTTGTACCTTAATAATAATTTAAATTTAAAAATATTACCTATGAAAGCATGTGTGAACATTCATATGTGTGTGTAGTTGAACAAGGAAAAGGAAAGAAAAAAATGTATCTGATTTCATTTCTTTGGGTTTAGACTTCATCTTGTTTGTCATTTTCAGTGTTTGTATTTTTTTCTCTAAGATACAAGCAAACATTACAAGTGTGACACAACACTAAGTGCTCTACTTCACACCTTTGGGGGTAACAGTTCTGAGTTAATGCCCTTATTTATCTTTTAATGTTGTTTCTATACACACATACACCCTGAGGTCATAGAAAGGTCACCCCATTTTGGTTGTGAAGGCCTGTTCCAAATGAGATAACTTTCTAGTAAAAGGGAGATAGTAAAAATTTTTGAACATCAGGCCTCACCAGTGAAAAGTAGTCAAAAGATTTGCTCAGATGGCTTAGAATTGTGTGGCTCTTGAAAATAGTAAGAGAATACAGGGATGGAGTTCATAAAAGGGCTTTATCTCATACTAACTCTTTAGATACCTACTGCAATATTTGAGCAAATCTTTATCCATTTCTGTTCTTTACTATTACCATTCTTCTTCTTGAAATGACAAGGAAAAGAAATGGATTGAAAGGGAAAAGCTATCCAAAGGTCCCCAATCAAGAATGTGCTTGAAGTGGGACCAGAAGCTCATGCCTATAATCCTAGCTACTAAGGAGGCAGAGATCAGGAGAGTCAAGGCTCAAAGCCAGACCCGGTAAATGGTTTGAGAGACTAGATCATGCAAGACTTTGTGTATGTACTAAGGATTTTAGAACTGAAACCCAATGAAGATAAAATTGAGGTTATTTGACCATGGGAAATAGTGCAAAAGACTCATGATACCTTCTATGGTATCTTCACTGGAAGCACAGATGTTTATGCCACCCTTGACCTTTTTATTCTTGCAGGTTAAAGGTGCAGTTGGGTAAAGGGAGACAGTTATGAGCAGAGTCCATGAATTCTTACTCTTCAGCAACCATTTTCCAGGGGTAGAATAAAAATAACAGCAAAATGGGACATCTGGTCATATAATAACTATAGAGAGTTGAAATTTCACTGCTTTCTTGGTTTCTGGATAAAAAAGACTGTTTTCAAAAGTTATTCAACTAATTCAATTCAAGTCAATTTATTAAGCTGTCATTAGAAAATACCAAAAGTACAATTATTCATTATACTAACACCAAATCTTACAACGACATGAATCTTCTTAGATTTATTCTTTATTTTATTTAATGTATAGAGGAAATTTCCTTTGGCTATTAGTCTTCATTTGCTTGTAAAACTGCACAGACCAAAGCATCTTTTATCTCTGTTCCATTGGGTGGCATGGCACACATTCAACTTTATCTTTGCCTTGTTCCTTTAAAAATTTCTTTTTTCTTGTCATATACAAAATTCATGAGGACTTGGAAAATGGGAGTGTAGTGGGAAAAATACAAGTATATTGCTACAAGCTTAACCACAATTTATGTATTTGATGATGATAAGAAAGATGACTGCTTCTGCAGTAACTATGGCTTCTTTCTTCCTCTTCTTCTCTTTTTTTTTTTTTTGGTACTAGGGATCAACATGCTAGGCAAACACCACTGAGCTACATCCCCAGCCCTGGCTTCTTTCTTTTGAATGCCTATCAGGTGTTTCATCTAATCAAGGAGGAAGTTGTAATGGAAGGTAGAGATGTAACATTATCTTATCTGTCACATGAGAAGAATATAATTATGGACAGAAAGGTCAGTACTAGGATGCTTCTCCTAGAATTAGAAATGAAAAGAGGGATGAATTATTTGGAGTGGGTGCTTGTCTTAGTCAGCTCAGGCTTGTATAATAAAATACCACACTGTTCATCGCTTAAACAGTAGATATTTATCTCTCATAGTTCTGGCGGCTGCGAAGTCTAAGGTCAAGGTACCAGCAGATTTGGTTCCTGATGAAGGCCCCCTTCCAGCTTTGCAGAAAACTACCTTGTTGTGTTCTCACTTGGTGGAGAGCAAGCTCTGGTCTCTTCTCTTTTTTTGGTGATATTGGGTCTTGTGTTTACTAAGTAAGCATTTACCACTTGAACCACAGTCCTCTTGCCATATTACAAAGACATGAATCCTATCCTGGAGACTCCACTCTCAATACTTCATGTAAATCTAATTACCTCCTAAAAAGTTGACCTTCAGATACCACCACACTGGGGACTAGGGCTTAAACATGAATTTTGGTGGGACTAAAACCAGTCAGTTCGTAACAGTGCTGACAAAGAATAATTGACCATGACATGGGTCTCTTCTTTGGTTTGCTGCATCTTTCCTGCCTTTGTTCATCATCTCCAATCTCTCCTTTAGGGTCTGCTCAAAGATTCCCTCAATCAGGACTTTTACTGGATTGGTCTGAGGAATAATTATGGCTGGAGGTGGGAAGATGGGTCAGCACTAAACTTCACAAGGTAAATGGTTTCAAAGGAGTGAAAACAAGAAAAGAGAAGTGAAAAATTTGGGGGCTTGAGAAATAGATGAAGGATAGTATATGGTGAGGAGAGGAATGGGTGAAAGGAGAGGAAAACAGGGAACAAGGTAGGGAATGAACTATGGTGATAATGGGAAAGGACAAGAAAATGGCATTTCAGCAAGGCTAATGAACATTTTTTTATTCTGCTGTTGTTGTAGCCGAGGGGTCTGAATAGGAGACAGAATTTGCTCAGTTTTTGTACTTCATGCCTCTCAACTGTGCATGTTGCCATAAGTGATCGACTTTTCTAATTTCTGTACAGGATTATTTCTAATAGCTTGGTACAGACGTGTGGTGTTATCAACAAAGATGGTCTCCAAGCTTCTAGCTGCGAAGCTCTTTTACAATGGATTTGTAAGAAGACCAGGATTTGATGGATGGGCAAAAAAAAAAAAAGTGGGAACTGGTCTTTGGGATGTTGGGCCATTTAGTGAATGCCAAACTTACTATGATCTACCACTAGATGGAATGCAGGCTCCCATGGATTGATGCTTTACTGTGGGTTCTCTTTGAGACTTACGTATTGTGCTAGCAATTTTAAGTTCAGATTTAGGCAGGTTTATGAAATAGATAAAAGTTTGTTTTTAATAGCTCTCACTCTAGCAACTCATGCTGGCTCCCTCATCTCCACCTCAACTATCTCTGTCAAAGATGTACCTTTTCTTCCATCAGTGGATGAATGGATAAAGAATATGTGGTGTATAAACACAGCAGAAATTAAGAAGAATGAAATCTTGTCATTTGAAGTAACATAGACAAGTCTGGAGGACATTATGTGGAGAGGAATAAGCCAAACACAGAAATAGAAATATCTCATGCTCTTACTTGGGTGAAAGCTAAAAAAGTCAATGTCATAGGTATAGAGAAAAGAATAATGATTACCAGAGACTGGAAAAGGGAGGGTGTGATAGAGGTTGGTTAACAGACTGGAAGAGTAATTTCTAGTGTTCTAGAGCAAAGTAGGTGGCAATAACAATGATTAGTGCATAGTTAACAAAAACTTTTTGTGGATTTCAGAATACCTAGAAGAGACAATTGTGAATGTTCCAAAATGTTTGAGGTGATGGATATACTAATTACCCTAATTTGATCATTATGCATTTTATACATGTATTGAAATATCACATTGTACCTTCTAAATATGTATAATTATTATGTATCAATTAAAGATAATAACCAAATAAGACACAATCAAAATTAAAAAGTATACCTTTTTTATAATTATGATGGGTGATGTACATTATAACATTTGCAAAGGTTCTTATAATGTACCAAATATATCACACTTGAATTCACCCCCTCCACTGCTCTCTTTCATACCCCCTCCCCTGATTCCTGGAACAGTTTCAACAGGTATCATTTTTGCATTTACATACATGTGTATACATTTGCACCATATTCATCCTCTTAACCCTTTCCCACCTCCTCCCCAATCCTACCAGTGCCAAGCCCACCCAAACCACTGCCCTGTAGAACCTGTTCTGCTTTCCTGTTCTCTGATTTTGTAGAAGAAAAAACATAAAAGTTAAAAAGGAAACATGATGTTTTTGCTAGTTTGAGATAAAGATGGCTACACAGGGAGAATTTCCTTGTGTTGTTTCCATGCATATATGTATTACAACCCCAATTGGTCCATCTCTTCCAGTCCTCTTCACTCCTCCCTACTCCCCTTCCTATGGTGGTCACAGACAGTTTAAGATTTCTGTATTCATTCCTGAACAATGAGCACATCAACTACATTCAAATTTTTGTTTTCCTTCCCCTGTCCTATCCCTGCTGTGCGTGGCCTCCAGTTCAATTCATTTACCTGCGAATGACATCCATTTGCCTCCATATTCCCCAGTTTCATCCATTTACCTGCGAATGACAAAATTTCATTCTCCTTTGTGGCTGAGTAAAATTCCATTATGTATAAATACCACATATTCTTAATCCATTCGTCAGTAGTGGGGCATCTTGGCTGTTTCCATATCTTAGCTATTATGAATTGTGCTGCAATAAGCATGGGTGTGTAGATGCCTTTGTTGTAACCTGAGTCACATTCCTTTGGGTATATCCCTAGGAGTGGTGTTGCTGGATTATATGGCAGCACACTTTTTAAAAAAAGTCTCCATATGGTTTTCCATAGTGGTTGTACTAGCTAAAATTCCCACCAGCAGTGTATGAAGGTTCCTATTTCCCCGGCATCCTTGCAAACATTTGTTGTTGGTGGTGTTCTTGATGATAGCTATTCTAACAGGAGTGAGGTGGAATCTTAGTGTGGTTTTGATTTGCATTTCCTTTACAGCTAGAGATGGTGAGCATTCTTTTCATGTGTTTTTTAGCCGTGTGGACTTCTTCCTTTCAGTTCAGTTGCCCATTTCCTTATTGGGTCATTGATTTTTTTTTTGGAGTTTAGTTTTTTGAGCTCCCTGAAAGTATACCTTTTCTATGTTATATTTTGAGCTAATCTGAAGAAATCTGTGCAAATATATAGTATTGTTAATGCCCCAGAGGAGCTTTAGGTATACTTTTGGGGTAACATACCACTTCTTGGTGATCATATACTTCTATCCTAAAAGTTGCCCTTTGTTTTGATGAAAAATTGTGAAGAATACTGCTAACCATGAGACTATATGTTGTGGGAAGTGGGTGAGAATAGGGTATTGCTTTCTGCTTCTCAGCTTTTCACATTTACATAATGACCTCCACTTAACTGTTTTTTTTTTTTTTTTTTTGTGCAAACATAGATGTGACTGGAACCTTTCTAGGCAATCACTGTGTCACTCACATATTAATTTGTGATAGTCTATTCGATAATGTATTTTCATAGAGTCAAGTTTACAGAAGTAGTTTATGGAGTTGGCTCCCCAAATTATTTCAGGCCCTAGTGCTCCCAAATAAACACTTAGCAAGTATGTTTAAGCTCCAGTACTGAAAAGAAAAAAAGAGAAAATACTTTATTACTTCTCCTTAGTAGAATTTGCATATAGATAAGGAGAGAAGATGCTGATTAAAGGTATAAGAAGCAGTGTTAAAGTAGACAGTAATTTTGTCACGTTGATGATGCTATATTATCATCTGTCTTTATCTTCTATACTCTTTTAGAATGCAGACTGTATTTTTTCCTACAAATATTCGAAACACATACAACAGTGCTTACATTCAGTGAACATTAAGTAAGTCAGTGGATTAATAAAATATAAGAATTAAAAATATTTATTCTAGTTGTTTCTGTTAACCCATAAATTAGAGAGATTAAAGGCAAGAGAAATAGTGGATGTTAATCTTCCCTAAGCTGCCTGTATGAGCATTCAATAGCTGACTCCAAAAAGGAAACAGTCAGTTTGGTGTGGCTGTTGTGCTCATAGGAAGTAGAAACCAGGTCTCATTCTCTTATAATCAAATTTTTGGTTCTGGGGCAGGGAATGTTTCTGAGTGATGGGTGTGATTTAACATTACATTGTTACATTTGTTAACAATGTAATGATAGTGATTCCACTTGGACCATGATTTTACAGGCTGCACAATTTCAGTTACTGATTCAAAGACAAATGAAGGGATACAGTAGGCCTTTCAATTCTCAACTGAGCAGGTGGGATGTTGTGCAGTTTTCCTTGATGAAGAGAGTTCAGTCCTCTTGTAAGGATTTCTCACCTGTCATCAGCATTGGGTCTAGATCTTCACTATTTTGTCTTCCTTAAGGATGTAACAATAGACATAGTGTCTCATTTCTTAGTCAATTGTGTAGTCCTTAGAATTATTTATTGAGAGTTGAGGTTAGTTATTGACCCAATTCTTTTACCTTGCCTGGAGAAGTTAAGTTAGGTAAAATTAGAACACTTGTTTATTTATTTAATTTTTGGTGGTACTGGGGATTGAACTTAGGACCTCACTCTTGCTGGGCAGATGCTCCAGCGCTTGAGCCACTCCATCAGCCCTAAGTTAGGTAACACTGGAAACTAAGATTTTTTTTGACACTTAAACTCCATCCCTGATTCATTTTGGTGAGCATTGTACATCCCTAGAATATGTGTGTTTACAATAAGACATTTATTAAAGATACTAACAGAGCAGTCATAAAATGAAAATGAGGACAAGCCAAAGAAGAGAAAGCTCCTCTGTTACATCTGAGAGCTCAGTAGGAAAGGTAGAAATGAAATTGTATATTCCTTGTTGTGGTCCCAGTCTGGCCTTGGAAAAAAGTGAGACCCTACCTAAAAAATAACTAAAGCAAAAAGCAAAAACCAAAAACAATCCCCCTGATCCTCTCCCTCAAAAACCAACCAAAAAAAAAAAAAATCTTCCAAAACCCAAAGGGCTGGGGATGTGGCCTAGCAAGTGCCACCCCATCAACCTCAATACCTCCCCTTGCAAAAAGAGCATATTTCTTTTAATACAGCAAGAGTTTAGGTTCTTGTCCATTTCACTTTTGTCTATTTTGTTGTATTTTAATAAATAAATAAAATTTGGACCTCAAGTGCATGATTAAACAAACTCTTTGGTTCATAGATCAACATCTTTATCAGCCCACTCATGTTATCTCTTGTTACCTTTCCCATTCTTCCTGTATGCCCACTTCTATCCACTTTCCTCTGTAGGAACAACTTTGATATATGATAGGTTCCTTAGGCATGCTTATTTCCTTATGAATATATAGTTTTCAGCTTTGTTTGCTTCATATTTAATTCAGTACCTCACTGTTTGCTGTCTTCTCTAGTGTTAAGCTGTTGACATCTATCTAGCTCTGTTCGTGTAAGCGTGCTTCTAGCTGCTTCACAGTCTCCGGAAGTACTTTTCCTCTTAATGCTGACTTCTTGTTTGCCTTTGATTCCCTGCAAATATTCTCTACACAGCTCTACTTCCCCACCTTGGGAAATGGCCCTACCATTTACGTTTGCCCTGTTGTGCTGGGTGTAGGGGTACTTGCCTGTAATCCCAGTACTCAGGTCCCTAAGGCAGGAGGAGCACCAGAAGCTGGAGTCTGAGGACAGCTTGGGTTGCATAGCAAGACCCTGTCTCAAAACTAAAGTGAAACAAACACCATGTTGTTTGGATTCCAAACCAAAGAGCTTACTGATTTCTTTCATTTTGTTTTTCTAATGAGCTACATTTCTATCTAAGTTTTTTCAGACAAAGTCTTACTATGTAGCTCAGGCTGGTCTTGAATTTGTAATCCTCTGCTTTTGTCTCTTGAGTGCTGGGATTACAGGTTTGTACTACCATGTTCTAGCTTATATTTTACTTTTTAAGAGGATGCTAATATCTTTTCCAAAGTGGTTGCACCATTTTTAACATACAATCAGCATTGTGTGGGTTTGTTTCCCCAGCATCCTGGGCACGACTTGGTGTATGTAGTCTTTTTAAATTTTAGCCATTCTAACAGATGTGTAGT